TTGAACACATTAGTTTTTAATTTGAATAAAGTCCAACTTATCTGTTCCTATGTTTTCTTCTAAGAGTTTTATACTTTCAGCTCTTGCATTTAGATCTATGTTCTATTTTGAGTTAAATTTTGTGTATGGGTGAGTTAGGGTTCCAATTGTATTTTTTTGTACATTAATATCCAGTTGTTCCAGCACCACTTGTTGAAAAGACAAATTGTATTAATTCTGAAATACATATTGTGATTGCATAATCAGTCATCTAGCTCTCAGTTAGACTGTAAGTACCAAGAGGGCAGGGACTGAACCAATCTTGTTAAATACGATATCTCCAGATCTCATCCTAATGTCTAGCTCCTAATAAGCACTCATAAATATTGGTTGAAATAATTTTATTAATAATAAACACTCTATAGTTCTATGCATTATAGGTATAATGATCTTCAATGTTATTTAAATATTTAGGCTCATAGAAGTTAGGCAATCTGTGCCTTGTATTATTGGTTCTCAATTTTTGACTCAGGTGCTCTCTCCTCATCTAGGAAGGTCATCAGTGAGCTAGCTCCTCCAGGGCAGGGATTGCTTCTCCTTTCTCATTGTATTGCCATCAACACAAATTCAGTTCAGGGCGAGGCACAGAGGCAGGCTAGACAGGTAAGCAACTGTGGGACAAGTGGACAGTGCCCTTCAGGACCGGGTCCCTACCTATCCCCAGTCCCTCCTAGGCTAGAATGTGATCCAGCAACAGAATGTAATTTCTTCCTCTCCATCACACAACCTCCTAGGCTGATCTTACCTCGGTGATACTACCCATGCTGATCCCTTTGCCTGGAATGCATTCCCATTTTTATTTGCTAAGCCCAACTGATATGGTAAGACTCTAATTAGGTGCCATTTCCTCGAGGACACTTTCTCTGGTCCCCCAGATTGGTCAGGGGCATGTTCTGGCCTCCTGTCTCTCAGCACTAACCATACTGTGCTGTTAATAGTCTTCCCTAGTCTCCTTCGAGGGCAGGAATCATGCCTGGTCAGTTGTCACGTGTCAAGCATATGACTCAGCATAACCAGTACTCAGTAAATTTTCTCAAATGAACAATAAATCCTGGAGAGAAAGGGCAGGCAGCCTGAAGTCCGGGTTTTATACCATCAGGCTTCTTCATTATAAAATATTTGGGCTCAAGAGGGGATAAAGGGAAGGAAAAGGAAGACAACTGTAATACTATCAATAATAAATAAATATATATTTAAATAAATAAGTAAATAAGACAAAAACTTTGAGGCTGACACACACCCGAGTTAAGGACTCAGCAGAGGCCCAGTTCCCTGCCGAGAGAAGGGAAATGGGTAGGTGTTGTCTTTCACCCAAGTTTGTTCTGAAGGAAATGCGATCTCCTTTAGGAGAGGAAGAACAGGAGGCCTCACTTCTCCCAGCCCGGATAGCTGCTCACATGGCTCAGCCTGAGCCAGGACAGATGTGCCTTCAGTCTACCCAGTGCCCTTGTTTCGGGTGAATAGTTCCTGAGTCTGGAAACCAGGCTCAAGTTTAGGCTGAGCCCAGGAGCAGGCCACCTGCTCATGCTAATGACAGGTGAAACAGGATCCAGGACCGTTTTTCACATCTGAAGAGCTGAACACACAAGGTTTAAGTGTCCCTGGAGAAGGAAGAAAGGAAGAGAGAAGGGAAAAGGAATGGATCCAGCCTCCCTCTGATATATAGCCAATGGGAGTATGGAAATTAAGACTCTGGGCTGCCTGTTTCAGGTTTGCTGAAAAGTCAGTAAAAAGCAACTTTCCCCAAGTTCTGCTGTGTTAGAGAATACAGGAACTAACATCCCTGCATTAGGGAGGCACGCAATACAGTGGTTTAAGGTAAAGGCTGCTTACAAACTTATTAACATAAAGAACAGAGCATGGCAAGTGGCAGATACTGCCCTGGCCCATTAGCCAGGCAAGCCCAAACCACACACATTTAGCTCCACATAAAGCAGGTCAATATACCTACAGATCAGGGCATCTACCTAGAGCTCTTGGCTTGATATCTCAAACTATGAGGATTCCTGACCTGTTTCTAATTAAGTCAGCACATGAACCTCACTGGTTTTCCTGTTTGTAGACTGGATGCCTCAGTCCTGACATTCATTCAACCCTACTTCTCTCACCTAACCTCCAACTTCGCTTCTAGAAAAGAATTCTCTCCTACATGCTGGCACATCTTTTCCTAGATGACACTCATTTTCTCCCAGCCCAGCAGATGTGGGGCAAAGGAAACTGTGATCACACCCAGCTGAGAGGAGTCAAGGCCAGCCTCACAAGGAACATAACAGCACTTAAGCTGAGCCTAGAAGGCTGGGAGGATTTAAGCAGAGGATGAGGAACAGAAAGTAGAGAGGATAGAGGGTCCAGGATCTATAGCTTCCCGAATGCCCTTAAGAAGATAATGAAGCACCTCCCCTCGGAGCAGCAGAGACTCAAGCTATTGCCTTTCATTATCCAGAGATCTCCCAAGGCTCTGGGCCTGGGTATGGTAAGGAACATCAAACCAGAGATACACACACAGCACAGAGCCACAGAGAGGTCAAGGGGGAAAGAAGGGTAGATCTGAGTTTTATTCCAAATACTCTTATCACCGACCACACTGATCATACACATGGAGACCCAACCATGCATAAACTGTGTAAGTTTTTTTTTAAATTGAGAATGACTCTATCCTGCTACAGGCAGGTCTGTTGGGCAAAGTTAAGGCTAGGACAGGCAGAGGAAGAAATTAAAAGTAGTGTGAGGCACCTATGAAAAGTTGAATAAAGACTTACTGTAAAAATTCAAGAAAGTTTCCTTCCAGCAAGGATGGTCTGACTCTCTCAGCTTCACCTCTAGGCTTAGCTCTATTAGCAGGAATAACTGTAATTGGCAAGTTATGTGTCTGTTTCCTTGAAACCAGGGCCTGGGTCACACACATACCCATCTCTAGTGCCTAGCAAAGGTCCACTCATTCATTCATATGCAGGAACTGCTTGGGGTGAGGAGAATATCCTAATACAGGCCTTCATCACCTTGAATTTATCTTACTAAAACAGCCTTTTAACAGATCTGCTTTTAGCCCTTGCCCAATTCAGTTCATCCTTCACCCTTCCGAATGATCGTAACTGGGCAATTTCCCTGCTCAAACTTCCCATTTTTCCCCAGTGATCATAAGGTAAAAATTCAAAACTCCTTCGTGGGCATTCCAGAGCTTGTACATTCCAGCTTCTCTCAAATCATCTCCCTCTTTCCAGACCCTGCAACTCTGCACAGACACCCCCTCAGCAGCAGCAGCAGCAGCATGACTGGCAGCAGCAGCCAGCATCTTCTTCCCCCACCTCCCCTTTGCTCAGTTTGTCCCCTGCTTTTGCTTCTGGGAAGGAGGGGGAGAGCAAGGGAGAGACTGTCGTGCTGAAGGGCAGGGTTCCTCACAAATGGTGAAGGAAGATTCTGAGGCATCACAACCAGAAGAGATGGGCAAGAGGCGGCAGTGGATAAGCAAGCTAGACACTGGAGACACACATGAAAGGTCCCTACAGGCCAAATCCACAAAGACAAGAATGAACGTTGCTGAATCACACATGCACCATAAATCCCATCACTTTTTCTCTTCTTTGGGCAGATGATTAATTGTTTTAGAAAAATGTGTACTTGGAAGAGCTGTAATAATCAACACATGGGGCTCAATCGGAAAACTCAGCCTGCCCGGGTGAAGGAAGGTGGAGTCAGCAACTGTGCTGCCTACAGTGAGTGCCAGAGAAAAGCAGAAGCCTGGCAGCCCTTAGCAGTTACCAACAGGTGACTCCAGGGTCAGCACAAGCCTGAGGAGGTGGCTTGGCCAGTTTCACACCCACCCCCTCCCTTGTACTGCAGCAGAAGGAAGCGAGGCTCATCTGTTTCTGGGGGAATGAAGACGCCACGCGCAGCCTGCAGTTATGAATGGCTCTTATTACAACAAGCTGACATCTGTGCTCGGTTTTTAAGATGCATCATTGCATGTTTATTAAACTATTGCTCTATCATATTTATTAAGCTACGAAACAACTCCCAGCCTATACTTCCAAAAGTGGTTTATTAAAAACTAAGCCTTGAACATTAATACTCAAAAGCACCCTTGAGAATCAATAATGCTGCAGATAAAATGAAAGGGAATCAAAGCAGTAAGTCTTGGTGGGGGCTGTCACTGCCTTTCAACACTTTCCAGGCAGCTGGAGTGGGGAAGAACATGAAGGGTATGTGGAACTGGCTGCAGGGCTAGCCACCCCAAGCACCAGACTTCCTGTCTAAAATGTGGACTTGGTAATATGGAAGGAAGAGTGTCCGGTGGCATCTAATTTTATGCAAAGGGGTGGGGGGGGGAAAGGCTCAAGATTAGGCCTAGTGAGTACCACTAGTTTCACCAAGAATAAAAACCCCTGCCCCCTGGTCTCATACTGATGCCCTCTGCTGGCCCAATCTGAGCATCCATCCTGGACACAGACTCTGCCCTGCTCCTGGCACCAGGCTGGGCTGAGTTGAATCCTGACCCTGCTCAAGAACAAGCCTCAGATCTAACAGGCCAGTGGTCATAAGGGGCCCGGCTGAGCAGGGAGACTGGAGGAATGTAATCAGCCCATGAGCAGAGGCCCAGGCCTTTCTAGCCCCAGAAAACCTCTCAGAAAGATATCTGCCAGCTTCTTCCCAAATCCCCAAGCCTCTCCATGCGTGCCCACCTGCACCCCATTCAGGCAACAAGCGCTAACACCTGACCACTTCTACAAAGAAACAGAACAAATTAGAGGATTCAGTGAAGAACCCTCAGGACTCCAAACAATGCCCTGTGGAGAACAAAACAGAAGGATTCAGGGGTGTTTGGGGTCAGACAAAGGAAACAAGAGCTCTCGAAGGAAGCCCAGGTGACTCTGTGACTATAGGATTTGATTCCCCGCTCAGTGTGGACTTCCTCCAAGGCAGCCATCTTCTGGGGGAGAACAAGGCCTGGGCTTGACACTCACCTGCTGACTTCTTGGACATTGTTGGCTCGAGCAGCTTCCATCAGGGCTTCATCTGTAGAGAGAGGGGGCACTGGTCAGACCTACTTACTCCTCAGGGCAGCTCAGAGGGCCCAGGAAAACAGTGAAAGTGAAAGCACTTCAGAAACATGGGCTTTAACAAGAGAAACAATGCCGAGATAGAGGCATACGAGTTCCATTCCAGACCACAGCCATACAGCACAGATCGCTAATAAAGTGAGCCGTGCTCTTGTTTGTGTGTAATGAACACATATCTGAAGCACAACAAAGTGAGGGCAATAAAACGAGGTATGCCTGTAGGTAAAGAGAAGGCTAATCATCCCATGCCCACGTGTTAACAACTTGTCTCCCACATCTATTATAGAGCCAAACTCTAACTCCTCCTCACACCGGTGACCCCACTACAGGGCTAGCACAAGTGTTGCCAATGAATGATAAATGCTCACTGTGCGGATTCCTTCACTCTCCTTTAGCTATCAGCCCTCTGTTTTACATGAGTATCTTTATTAGTCATTCTCCTACCTTGCCCCACTTTCTCCCTAACTCGTTTCTTAGCCTAGTTTTGAATCTTGATGTCATAGGTCACACATTCAGAGGGAGAGTCAGGACGGGAAGGAGCAGGAAGGGGTGTGGGCCCTTCTGAGACTAGAGAGAGCACCAACCAGGAGTCAGGAAACCTGGCTCCTACACACCCTGCCCCCTACTCACCATGTGCTGTGGCAACCCCTTTCCCTCTCGACCCCAAGCTTCCCTGACTGTAAAGCAGAGGCAATAAAACCTTGGCCCTTCCAGCCTCACAGGATGCTGAGGGAATGAAATGATGGTTGGAAAATCTGCAAACTCTCCAGTGCCAAGCCCACCAAAAGGAGACCCGAAGCATAGGGATTACCTAGCACTGTGGTCGGCAAACTGCGGCTCATGAGCCACATGCGGCTCTTTGGCCCTTGAGTGTGGCTCTTTCACAAAATACCACAGCCTGGGCTGAGTCTATTTTGAAGAAGTGGCGTTAGAAGAAGTTTAAGTTAAAAAAATTTGACTCTCAAAAGACATTTTAATCGTTGTACTGTCGATATTTGGTTCTGTTGACTAATGAGTTTGCCGACCACTGGCCTCACAGAAAAGCTAAGCTGACCTCCCCTGGGCAGCCTGCAGGCTGCTGGCACCACCTTGTGGCCACTGAGAAATATTGTCTGACTGGAAACAAATCTCAAAAGACAACAGAAGCACATTCTTTTTTTTTCTTTTTTCCCCCCCCAAATACCAAGTGCCTGGGGAGTCTTCTGTGCCCCGCATGATTCGGAGATCCATTACTGAACGCTGGATGAACTCATGCCCAGTCCTGCCTCAGAGAGTTCCAGTCCAGCCAAGAGTCTGACCCACTGAAACAGGAAGAGACACTGGAGCAGCGTAGAAAACAAGATCTGGAGACACACAGACATGGGCTCCCACCACACCTCTACCACTTACTTGTTGTACCACCTTGCCAACTCAACTAACCTCCTGAGCCTTAGTTTTCCTATCTGTATAATAGAAATAATATAGCCACTTTACCGAGCCTATGTAAACCAGCTCTGTGGTTCAGACATTATTGCCTCCACACCTCCAACCACAGACTACAGGGCCAGGACTTTCCTGGTTATCTTCCCTAAGCACAGACCCCGACAGCCCCCAGCTGGAAGGGAAACAAGCCTTCTTCAGAGACTGGCTGTGTTCTCTTCCCTCACTCTGCAGAAAGAACTGGCTTTTACAAAGTCACAGAGGAAATAATGAGTCGAGATTTGAACCCAGGCCTCCTGGCTCCCACGGGGTGCAGTTTCTATCACACTGCACTGAGGGCCTGAGCTTACAACTCCAAGTCAGGGGACAGGGTAGGTGGTTGGAAATGATCATGGTTTTGGTTATTATCTATTTTGGTAAATAGACTCTGGTCTCCTTGCTGGGGTTCGTATGCCACAAAGTCCAGTCTAGAGCCCCCAGCATTTTTAAAAGGCAAGACTTGTCCTACTGGCCTCAGGACATTCCCTGAGCTCACGGCTCTCCAATGCCTAAGGAGAAATTCCAAACCATCCTGCATAACATGCAGGTCCCACTCATCTGCTCTCACTTCACCCCAAAGACCTCCTGTTCTCCAGCCAGGCTGGCCACTCTGCTAGCTCCTGCTCACACCCTGCTAATGTGTGACTCCCATATCCTTGTTCTCTGAAGCCTCTGCATGAAATACAATCCAACTCAAGGCACACTTATTGAGTACCTACTAAGTTCCAACACTTTGGTGGACAATGTGACGGTATTAAAGAAAGGAGCTGGTATTAACCTGAAAAGACCTCATGGAGGTCACAGTGAGACCTTTTCACCGCTTGCCTCAACCTTCAGAATACAAATTCAAATTCCCCATCCTCCAGGGACCCCCAATCTTCCGGGAAAGCTTTCCTGACCCTGTTGGTCCTCTGATCCCCCAACTACACATAGTCAGACCACTCACCAGACCCACAGGCCTAACTTAGCCTGCACTGTCTCCTTAACCAACTTTGTACGCAAAACTCGATACACGGAGAGTGTTAAAAAAAATTGCTAAAAGGTATATAGAATCATAGCATGCCTATGCTAGACCAGCCCTTAGAGCTCTATGTCAACATCCTCACATTGTAGATGAAGAAACAGAGGACCAGGTAGTAGGAAGAGTCCAAAGTCACAGTGAGAGTTAGAGGAGAGCCAAATCAAGGTCCCAGTTGTCCTAACTCCCAGTCCAAGGCCTTTCCTTTACAGCTGCTGAATACACAAATGTCAGGGCAGCGCCCCCTTACTCCAGCCTCAGAGATGGGAATGCATGTAATCCATGAACACCGTGCCTCAGGCTTCCCCCCTGAGGAACAACGGGGCACCTGAGTGGTTGGACGCACACCTGGCTCTCTGCCTGCTCTCCCAGTACCTGCTTAGCTCCATGCACCCAGGTGAGATGCCAACCTGGGTCAGCCAGCCCCATGGTTGCTTTGGGTCCCTAACAGAGCCAACTTCCTAGTCTCCCTTCTCCTGCCAACTAGCCCACATGGCAAGATCTTTTCATGTCTGAGACCAGGCATAGCAAAACCCTGGGAGTCTGATGGACAGACCCAGGCTGCTGAACGCCAAGAAAAAAAATAAATAACAGCCCTCTAAAAGCACGGAGAAATAATTCTTCACCGTATAAGTGGGAAAACTGAAGCCAGAGAGGTGCAAGCGATGAGTGGTGGAAAGATGGCATTGAAACCAAGTCCTTTTCCCTTCTTAGGTCATCTGAGGAGGTACACTTCTCTAAACCATTTACCGGTTGCCCTCAAAATACACCGCCGTTTCCTCGAGACCTCTTAAAAGAGGAATAGGACCAGGCAGAACATTCGAGGATTAAATGACCATGCTCTAATTTTATAGGTTTAGTGCAATGCTCCCGTTAGACAGAGGGACAAAGTGATGCCCAAAGAAGGGAGGCTGCACTCTGCTGGAAATGATGCAACTCCGAGACTCGGAGCTCTCCAGGGCAAACTACCCCCGGGACAATGTCTGGGTCCCTCCAGGGCTGAGACTATGCTGCTCTACATCCATAAGCAACTCCCGCCCTTCAAAGATAATCAAGACACTCCCCCCGCCTCTCCCTTCCTGGAGCCCAGACGGTCCCGATAATCACCCTTGCTGGACGGGCTCTTGCTGTAACAGTGAACCACCAGCGCCGTGGCCAGGGCCCACATGCCCAGTCTGGCTCTGGTGGGGTCCCCATTCCAGCAGTTCTGTCCCGGGAGTGTGTCTTCGGGGCCAGGAAGGCGTCCCCACGAGGCGACTGCGAGGCACTGGGTCTCGGTGCGTCTTCCGTGGCGCCCCCCGGTGGCAGCCCCTCTTCGGGTGAGCGAGGCCAGCGATGTTGCAAGACGCCCCCCGGTGGCCGCCCTTAGCCACGGCGGCTCGCCGCAGCCCCCGGTGGTCACACTCCGACCGGAGGGACCTCGGTGGCTTCCGAGTGATGGAGACTTAAGCAGATGGAGGAGGAGCCGCGGCGCCAGCGCTGTTCTCCTTAACACCAGGGACCCCAGCATCATGACAGCTGCTCGGATAACCCCGTGGTGCCGGCCCCTGTGCTGGCCACGTCCAACATGGCTGCCGCGGCGCGTTCGAAGACGCCGCGAACACGGTGGAATTCCGCACTACCTCACGGGAGTGGTAGTCCACAGCTCCTGAGCTTTCCGCCACTGGAGGACACGAAGAAACTACAATTCCCAGAAAGCTGCGGAACTTGCGTCACAATGACTGCCGATTTACATGAGTCCGGGGCATGCTGGGAAATGGAGTTCTGGCGAGGGGCGTGGTTAAAAAAAGCAAATGCCTAGGTAGGGCGTGAGATTAAGATGCGAATCCCAGAGTATAGTTCAAACACACAATTCAACTTCTGAATAGTGTAAATTAAACAGGGATCTTCTGCGGAGGCTTATCATGAAATGTATGCTTAGTTATTTTCGTCTATTTCTCTTTTCAGCTTGAAATAGCTTTTCAAAAAGATGTCTAGGTGATGAAATAGGAATTCATTTTATATTCCTACACAGGTTTTCTTTCGGCTGAAAAATTGGTACCTAGTCTTGCTTTCTCACTTTTTTTTTAAGGACTTTCACATGGCTATCACAGCTGGGGCAAGGATTATTCCCACCTACAGGGAAGGGGGTTTAGGCTCGAAAGTGAATTAATTTGTCAATAAGTTAAATAAAGCTCAAGTCTCCTGATTCTGAGCCTAATCCTATCCATAAACACCTCATATGCATCCTAGCCCTCTTTCTTCAGACTGAATTCACAGGCAGGCAAAGGAGAAAACTCTTTTTGCCAGTCCCTTTTCCTACTCAGTCACTTCTTCTGGATCTCCACTCAAACCTCACATTATCAGAGCCTTCCCTGAGGATTCCATTTAAAATAGCAACCCCCGCCGAAAACATTTTATGTAAGTGGTGGAAAGACGAATTATTTAGTAAACAGTGTTGGGACAGCTGGTTGGCAAATTGGGGAAAAATTAAATTGGATTTATATCTATGCCTTTCACCAAAATAAATTCATACTAAATTAAAAGATTTAAATGGGGGGGAGAAACCAGGAAAAAAAATGCTACAATAAAACATAAAGTAATTTTTAAAAATAATTGGAGTAGGAAAACTTTCTAGGCATGACACAAAACTCAGAACAATAGAAAAGAATGGTATATTTGACTCTACAAAAAAACAATTCTGATGGGAAAATACTATAAACAGTGAAAAATACAATAGACTATCTGGGGGACAATATATTTGCACCACAGTGGTGAAGGGGAGAACGCCTATAAAATATGAAAAACACTTAGAATACAGAAGATAAATGAACAAAGGCAACACCTTTGTGCACAGTAAAGAGTGGGGCTCCCAGGGCTGAATTAGAAAAAGGGCCCCCCATGCCGTATTTGTGGCAAGGTGAGCAGTGTGCGGCCAGTCTGCAGTTTCCACTTCCACAAACTGCATGTCCAAACTCGGCAGCCCCCAGCAAAGGACTTGACCAAAGAGCTCACAAAAACAAACAAACAATAAACAAAAACAAGTACAACACACATTATACTTAAACATATGATAATATGCTCAACAATATCTATACTAACAAATACACAAATTAAAATGGTAATGATCCATATCTTGCACCATATAAAAAAATGACCTCTAAATGGATTATAGACCTAAATATAAAACCTAAAATTCTAGAAGAGAATATAGAGAAAAATCTTTGTGACTTTGAGTAAGGCCCACTTTAAAACAAACAAACAAACAAACAAACAAAAAAACACACAAAAAAAAACTGTACTTCATCAAAATGAAGAAATTTTGCTCCTCAAAAGCCTCTGTGAAGTGAATGAACAGACAAGCCACAAAGAGACCACTCTGAGGCATATCAGGTAGAAAAAGTATCAAGGCACAGAACACATGTATTGTATATAATCTTTGGTATTATTTGAAAACATATACATGTTTCTATCTTTGTGGTCATATATATTTAGGATATCTCTGGAAGGATAATAAAAATAGCTGTCCTTGGGGGAAAGGGGAATGGAATGGGACTGAGCGATGAGGGAAAGAAGTAGGGAGGGAGGAAAAGTTTTTCTTTTCACTGAATACAATTTTGAATTTTGTATCATGTGTATATATTTCCTATTCAATTAAATTAACTAATCTCTATTATTTCTATGTCAAATTCACTTTAGGCTAATTTTTGGCATCAGTTAGCGGGAGTACTTTTAACCTCAGACCACCTCATTATTTTTTCTCACAAAGAAACACTGACATCTTGTGGATTTTTAAGATAATGCTGCTATTTAAAAAAAAAACTATTTATTTTCTAAATACCGTTGACCTACAATATTATATTAGTTTCAGGTGTACAACATAGTGGTTAGAAATTTATATACTTTACTAAGTGATCACCCTGATAAGTCTAGTACCAATCCTACACCTTACATAGTTATTACAATACTATGGGCTTGGGGCATGAAATTCATGCACAGACGGGGTGTGTGTGTGGGGGAGGTGCAAGGGGTGGCGAGGCGGGCGGTGTTCCTCAGCCCGGCCTGCAACCTCTCCAATCTGGGACCCCTCAGGGCAGTGATCGGCAAACTCATTAGTCAACAGAGCCAAATATCAACAGTACAACGATTGAAATTTCTTTTGAGAGCCAAATTTTTTAAACTTAAACTTCTAATGCCACTTCTTCAAAATAGACTTGCCCAGGCTGTGGTATTTTATGGAAGAGCCACACTCAAGGGGCCAAAGAGCCACATGTGGCTCTCAAGCCACAGTTTGCCGACCACGCCCTCGGAGGATGTTCTGGTTTAGGCCTAATCCCACAGGCAGTCAGACATCCCTATCGCAATCCGGAGTGACTGGCTCCTAACCACTCACCTGCCTGCTTGCCTGATCGCTCCTAATCCCTCTGCCTGTTGGCTTGATCACCCCTTCCTTGCCCCTGCCTGCCTGATCACCCCTAACTGCCTCTGCCTTGGCCCCCACCACCATGGCTTTTTCCAAAAGGAAGTCAGACATCTGGAAGTTGGCCTGTGGACCTGGTCTAATTAGCATATTACCCTTTTATTAGTATGGATAGATTATATAGGATAGGATTGCTTAAATGGGGGCGGAGTGGAGGAGCCTTTTCAGCAGGAGGAGATGCTCTTGGCAGACAAAAACACATAATCCCTATATCTGGACTGATAGCCAGCCATATGCACTATACTGCTAAACTGGTTATTAAAAAGTTGGATCACTTTCTTTTTTTAAAACATATTTTATTGATTTTTTTTACAGAGAGAAAGGGAGAGAGAGGGATAGAAAGTTAGAAACATCAACCAGCTGCCACCTGCACACCCCCACTGGGTATGTGCCCGCAACCAAGGTGCATGCCCTCGACCGGAATCGAACCTGGGACCTCTTAGTTCACAGATAGACGCTCTATCTACTGAACCAAACCAGTTTCAGTCGGATCCCTTTGTTATACCTTACACCAAATAATTGTTGCCCTTAAAACCCCTCCTCAGTCCCCATCTTAGGTTCTGCCTTCGAAGCCCACCCAGAGTAGTTCTGATTGGTTGGTTTCTATGCCAGTCAGCATCAAAAGCTCCAACTCCTAGGCAGCCATTGGCTCCTCACAATTTACCCAGATTGGATTTTGATTGGTAAGTTTCTTTTTTCTTTTCTTTTTTTAAATATATATTTTACTGATTTTTTTACAGAGAGGAAGAGAGAGGGATAGAAAGTTAGAAACATCAATGAGAGAGAGTCATCAATCAGCTGCCTCTTGCACACCCCCTACTGGGGATGTGCCGGCAACCAAGGTACATGCCCTTGACCAGAATCGAACCCGGGACCTTTCAGTCCGCAGGTTGACGTTCTATCCACTGAGCCAAACCGGCTTTGGCTGATTGGTCGGTTTCTATACCAGTCAGCATCTCTGGGCCTATCTCTGGGCCTAATCATAGAGTTGGGACTGATCAGCAGCCATCGTAGGCTGCTGGCAGGGGCTGAACTGTCGACCTCTGGGAGATCTCTGAGAGTTCAGCAGTTCAGCCCACTTACCTGCAACATGTGCAGCCTGGCGTTCGGTAGAGCCTTCAGTCGCTTTGGATGTTATGACCATGGCTCTTCATATACTATATAGATAATTGACTATATTCCCTTTGCCGTGGTACAGACACTGGAAAACGGTTTGGCAGTTTCCTATAAATTTAAATATAAGACTTAAGCAAACAAACAAAAAATTCCATGAACATTAATAATGGCTCTGAAAACCTGACTATACTGTCGGGAATGATTGACCCTACTTATCCTGATGAGCCAGAGTAGCTGCCACAAAATGAGGGCAATGAAACTGTCTGAACAGTGAGGTTCAGTGGTGTCTCTCGGTGCTTCCACGTCTGGTAATAACGGCGAGTGAGCAATACAGCAACCAGCGCCTGACAAGGGCAAGGCAACCAAGAGCTCAGACTCCTGAGGGATGAAGGTCTGAGTCGTCCGCCCAAGCAGGCACCCCAGATAAGGTGAAGCCTTAGAAAGGGGGTGGATAGAGAAGAAAGATAACACTAATATCCATCTTAGGGCAACTATTAGAATTGTAGATTGTTTCAATAATCCTTGTCTAGTAAATCTTTTACCAAGGTTGCCCTGGCTACTATCTCTAACAGAATGGATTTAGTGTGGGATGCAAGGGGATCTCAGTGGTGTGAGGAGTGACTGCCCCAGAGCCGATGGTGCCGGGTGTGGCATCTCCTTAGCTTGCCTCTGATTTGAGCCATTAGTGTGGTTGACAGCTCTTTGTGATTGCAAACTCATCATGAGATGTCAGCATCCCACCTCAAGCAGGAACCTGCTTACATCATCATTTAATATTTTGTGTGTGTGTGTGTGTGTGTGTTTAATATTTAATTTCTAGCAGAGCCCTGTAGCAAAGATTTGCTTTTCAAATGCAGAATAGGCAGCAGAAAGGGGTATAGTTCAGAAAGGGACACTGTGATTCTTCTGTTTTTGTTTGTTTTTTAAAAAATATA